TCTTCTACTGTTGTTAGCAGTGGTGGAGGAGGATGGTTTTAAGGTCCCTTTCAGGCAGTTTTTGGCCAGAAAAATGTATGCATCCAAGATGCTACAGATGATTAGAATTATTTTTGCTAGCACAGTTTATTATAAAATGTCTTTGGTGATACGGCTGCTCAGTTCTTTTTTCTGCGAGTTACAACATGAAAATAAAGAAATTTCTGCAAATAGAGAAAGGCCAGTTAGTCTCTATTAAATTCCCAATGAGTAGCACCTAAACTGTGGCCTCAAGAAGCTGCAAAGTTTTTGTCAAATAGGGGTAAAATGGTCTAAAGCCTAAAGACTGGCCTCCACTGGTGAGATGCTGGATGCTTTAGTACTCTGCTGTGGTCGTTCCAGATGCTGGCTTGCTCCAAGCAGGTGATGTCCTCAGTTCAGTACCTGGAGTCTGTACAAGATGAGTAGAGCATTTCCAGCTTCTTGTGGCAGGAAGAAATCCTTAATTCAGCAGTCCCACTTCCCTGATTTCCATCACAGAAACTTGCTTCTCACATGCCACTGCTGCTTGGCCATACTGGCCTATCATTGCAAAGATGGCAACTGGTGGTGTAACATTTTCTGCTGTGAGAAACACAGTCCCTTGCCACTTGCATAAAGAAATTCCTTTAAAAACACATAAGTCTATGTGTTTTTCCTCTGTGTACATAACCAAAACTATTTTTAGCTATGGCATGGGTCTTTCATAGTTATCTCTGCTTATTTTCAAAGACCTTAACATTTGGCACATGTCGTATTAGTCCCACTGATTTTGTGTTGCTTTTCATCCCTATTCCCTTAATTCCTTGCCTTCACCCCCTCGGTGGATCCCAGCCCATGGTCTCCTTCCCAACAGGCACAGGCTGGTTTCAGCATGTCTGCCCCACCCAGATTTAGCTTAGACCCTTCCCCCAACCCAAAATTAATAAACCCTTCTCACAATACTCAGTCACAGTGGTGGTGGCTTATTTCCAGCTCTTAAACTTACAAATCTATTTATAGCTCAAAAGGCTTGAAAAGAGATCATTAAGGGAATAGATTTGTGAATGTAGAACAAAGATCTGATTCTGGGATTTTCTGTAGGCAATTACTTAGTGTAAATAACAATGTTTGACACCTGCTTTCCTCTCCCATTGAAATCTCAAAGCAGTTACATATATGAATCCTTAGCCCGAGTGCTGCAGAGAGAGGAGCTGCCCTTGAGGGTCTTAGACTGACACCATGTTCCTATCTACTAATATTATTTTTCTTTTAAATTCACTGACTTGCTCTTACTCTGTCTATGTCATGCTCCTCCTCACCTCAGAGGCTGAAGCAGGAGTGAATTAGACCTTCAAAGATTCAGATTATATCAAAAATATAGCACTGCAGTCCTAAATGGTGACATGCAATGGAGACCATGAGCTCCTCACCGTATTCTAAGCCATTAAGCATTATCATTCATCTATAAAATATAGCACAGTTACACACTGATGCAGAGAGATTCTTTTTTCCCTATTTCTTCATTTCCCTTCACTACTAATTTAATGTGAATATCATTCACATGGTGAGTATGGGGCTCAGGAGCTCCATCCTAGTCCTGCTTTATAGTGACAACTCGAACACCTTTTTTGTGCAAATTATGTTTTCCTGTTTTCCTTTGGTTCTGAAGAAAAATTGCAAACTTGCAGTTAGTGTTTGAAAACCAGTGCTAAGTTGAAAAGTTCATGTATTCCTCGTGGGAACGTGCTTCCGAATTTCTCTTCTGGATTATGTCTCCACACAGAGAAATCAGGACTCAAGTTAACAGTCTCAAACCCCAAACAGGACTCAAGCTGAGTAGGCAGCCATGTGAGTTTATCATAACTTTTTTATCCTCAAAGGTGTATTTTTTTCTATTTCCCTGTCCCCCTTCAGGTCTAAGTGTCACTTTGCTGCTGGTCACAAAAGCTCGGCTCTGTTGTGCGCCGGTTAACTCTTCCGTTCCATTGAGTCAGGCCAGTGTTACAAGGACGATCATGTTGACTTAACCAAGCAAAGCCACCCACCTGCACCTAATACAGCCCAAAGCTGGTGAAAGCACAGCATATTCCTTTCTATTGACTCTTTACTGTGAGCCTTGGCAAAGGTTCCAAAGTCCATTCAGGTTTCCCTGGGCCATCATCAACGTGCGACCAGAGGCCTCATTCTGAAGATTCCTGGCCATGCTCAAGCAGTGCTGTACATTCAGAACTCCTCTATTACACAGATTTTTACATAGATCCGTTGTACCCAGAGGTGTGCCTAAGAGACACACCTCAATGACATTTCCACTAGAAAATAAGGCAAAAATTAGCTCTATTTATGAGGACATTTATAAGGGCATTTTAATCCAAGTCAAAATATTAGGCTTTGGCAATGAGAATTCAAGTGTGTGTTGTTGTTTTTAGGTACCTTCTGGGTGAGGGAGGTAACATAGTGATAAAATGGAGGCACAAGGAATGAGGTAAACAATAGGGAGAAAATCTGGAATCACAATTCTTTAGGGCACCATGAGGTATGACTTGAGGGTGAGACCAGAATTTTCTCTGTAGACACCAAGTGCATGTCTACACATTGTCAGTTTCCACAGAGGTTTTCTTCCACTCATATGCAAAGCTTGACCTGGTTGGTCTTCTCACAGCTCATGTAATGAGGTGAATTAAAAACCCTCTTATCCTTATACTCTTTCAGTCTATTTGTGCAGGGCACAGTCACTTTGAAACTACGTTGGACTTAACAGAAAGACTTCACTGAGATTCTTTAATATTCTTCCTTGTTGTGTTCACTGGGCTGTGTTTATATGCCTTTATTCTTTAATATTCTTCCTTGTTGTGTTCACTGGGCTGTGTTTATATGCCTTTGTCCACAGCATGTGCACCATCACTTTTTTTTCACCTGAAATATGCCTTCACTTAGACTGAGAATTCAGAGGTTTGTGATATCCTTCTGTGTCTCATCCTCCATCCTTGGCTCAGCTACATCTGCTTTACACCTTAACAGAGACTCGTTGGAGACCTGTTGCCTCTGTGGAGGTGCCAGATGCTCTAGGGCATAAAAAAATTGTGGCCCAGAATGGGGCCAAGTTGCTGATGAATAGCAGTGGCAAGTCCCAGATCGCTGATGTCTCTCGGGCCTGTTGGTGACTCCCCTGGATACACCTGTGCTAATGAACTGGTGCCAGTGCCCACCCTTGGGTCCTGGGGCCAGCTGGCATTGTCTGGTCATTTCCCTACTTTTACCTTCACTTCCAAAACAAATTTTCAAACTTCCTACTGTTAGTACTACCTGGTCCAGGTTAACTCCTGAACCTTTGCTTAGGAGAGTGCTGCTTACTCTGGGCCATAATCATGGCCAAGACCACTCCAATGACTTCACAGTGTTCATGTTCCAGTGTTTGAGCCTGCTTTCTGGTACTCTTCATGCCAAACAAATGCTGACTTGCTTTGTGGCTTAGCAATATCTTATTTACAAACAAGAAGAATTTTTTTCCCTGCTTGCTTGGTGGTAATTTCTTTGAATGCCCTCATTGTCTCCCAGTTTTCAGTGCACATGACCCTTGGCAGATCTGCAGCAACACTATGTGCATGTCTTCACTACAGTTAAAAAGTGGCAGCAGTATTGTAGAGATACAACAGAAATCTCTGGTTTAAAGTAATCATAAACCATAGCTCAGCACTTCCCTTACTGATTTGCAGCAAGGTAAACCAATCCCTGCTGAATCCCAGGCTGCACATCCAGCTGGTCTTTCTGCAAGATAGACACATCCTATGCCCCAAGCTTCCAGGGTTTGAAGATTCTGGAGGATCCGGTCCTAAATAGCTCACTAAAGGTCATGAGGAAAATCTGAACAGGATGTGGAAATAGGTCTTCCAATACACAACCCAGCACAACAACCCCTGGGGCACATTTTTCTCAAATTTAATAGGTGATGGACCTCATGAGGTGATGGCCTCATGAGATCCCACCTGTAGTACTGCGTCCAGCTCTGGGTCTCCCAACACAAGAAAGACATGGAGCAAGTTCAGAGGAGGGTCACAAAGATGATCGGGGGCTGGAGCACCTCTCCTATGAAGAAAGGCTGGGAGAGTTGGGGCTGTTCATCCTGGAGAAGAGAAGGCTCTGGGGAGACCTTAGATCACCTTTCAGTACCTAAAGGGAGCCTACAAGAAAGCTGAAGAGGGACCTTTTACAAGAGCAGGAAGTGATAGGACAAGGGAAAATTACTTCAAACTGCAGGAGGGGAGATTTAGATTGGATGTCAGGAAAAACTTCTTTACTGTGAGGGTGGTTAGGAATTGGAACAGATTGCCCAGAGTTGTGGATGTCCCACCCCTAGAAGTGTTCAAGGCCATGTTGGATGGGATCCTGAGCAACCTGGTCTAGTGGAAGGTGTCCCTGCCCATGGCAGGAGGGCTTAGAACTGGACGATCTTTAAGGTCCCTTCCAACCCAAACCATTCTATGATTCTATTATTACGTCCCTTAAATTTTCTTCCCTCTGTAAACGTACGTGGGAGCAACCTTAGTTTGTATAGGCCAGGGTCATAGCTCCAGAAGCAGTCGGAAAGCAAATCCCAGGGGGAAAGAAGGATCTCCATTGGGCAGAGGAGTGCTAATTCTATGGTCCACAGGTCTTAACTGTATGTGTGTTCATATGCTACAACTCAAAGGTGAGTAAAACAACTTGCATGACAGTGATATATGTAGGAAGGCTGAAAAAATATAATCCCTGTAAAACAGAAAGGGTGAACAAAACACAGAGAAGTAGAAGAAAATGGAGATTTGTCTGCTCAAAGTAGGACCTTGTTAAGGAGAGGCTGATAGGGAAAAGGCGGCACCGGGCAGGAGCAGGACTTGCAGAGCATTCTCACTCGAGAGAGAGCTGGGAGGGCAGCATGGGAAGAGCAATGGAAAAGAGCAAGGAAGGCCAACTATGCACCGTGTTGTCTGCAGAGAGCTGCTACAGAAGGAAGTCCAGCTAACCTTTGCCAGCTCTACTCTGGCAGATAGGTACTCCATGTGAAGATGAGACGTAGCACACGTGGCTCCAGACACAAGAGCATCCTCTGCACCATCTGTGGGGGGACTCTCCAGCATCCGCAGGGAACAGACACACTCAAGAGCAAATCAGGTCTCATTAGGGACAGCTCTGGTGAGTCCTGGAGCAGATCCTGGCAGGTGCTTATCACATTCAGGACGTGGTGGTTCAATATGCATGTATTAACACTGGGGAAAAATTAGGGTAAGGTTAGAGTAAGGCAATCACTTTCTTAGTAACATCGAGTTCACACATCTTCCCACTTACTAAAACAGCAATATTTTAAAACAACCTTTTTATTTTCCACCATGCTTGGATCCTGGGGTCTTATTTCTGCTGTCACATCCAGTCTGCTGAGAGAGGCAGGTTCTGTATCATAGTCTGTGGTATGATTTTCTGTTTGTTCTTTTGAATGACTTTGCCCAAAGGGGTGATAATAAAAAAATGTGAAAGCTGGTGTCAAAATAATTTCTTTGAGCCTGGAATACACACTTTTTTCATTATTCTTGACATTCTCTTTTATTTGTCTTTTTTCTCCTCTCTACTTACGTTCAGTATTAAAGCAAAGTAAAACACATAGTACAGATAATTCTGCTTTCAGATTTCTTGGCTAGCATTGGCCCGCTCTCAAGTGGATATGTGGGACTTCTGAACATTGCATATGGTCTTTATATTCCTGTGATTTATGAAGACACATGATTTTCCATTCACAAGTGCACAAGAGCATGGTCATATGACTCCTGCTACTGGGAGTCCTCCTGCTATTTAGCCAGAGCCAACAGCTACAGAAGCATCCCAGAAGCAATTTAATCCAGCAGCAAACTTAAAAATAAAAAGAAATGCTCAATATTGTCATACAGATTATCCAAAACAGATCTTATTGGGTCCTTCCATTCTGCTGGCCAAGTAGGTGATGCTTCCAAGGGAAGGGGAGCTAACCCATTGCTTCATGCTTGTTATTCATTTGGGTGGAAAACTGGGATTTGGAAGGGCTTTAGGAACAGACCCTCCCTCCCTCTGATATTTAGGAGGATGTCAGGGATGTCTGGTGTTTTCTTGGTACATGATGTGGTGAAAAAAGGAAGAGGGTCCATGTTGCTGTAAGGCTGCTTACGTGTCGGGTATTCACTGACCCTGTGACATGGTCTATAAGGAAGTGCCAGTGTTAATGCTCCCACTCCATCTGTGTGGCTCTTGGATGTCCTTAGTGCGTAGGGAGCAGGAGCCAAATGGCAGCTAAGCAAGGTTGGAAAGGATCAAGAACAGACGATGTTGTTCCAGAGATAATCCTCAAATAAGGTTGTTTTAGGCAGAGAACTAGTCTTGTGGTGATACCATATTGACACCCAACCGCTGGCACAGGGGTTTCTCCACCTCTCAGCTCTCTTCAGCTTTTTCCAAATTGTTTCCTCCCTACCTCAGATTTTCTGTTTTAAAGCCAGCTGTGAGGCACCTGCTCTGCTTCTAAACACACTCACAGGTATTTCATACATTTAACAAAAGCAGAGGGCTGATTTTTGAACGAATGCCATCGTTTTGACATTTGCATTTGAGAAATAGCATCTCCAAACCTGTATGTCAGGGATGACATCTCAGGATCAGATGTGGTTTGGCTGGAACCACGGCATTGTTCCTGGGCATGGCTGCTTCTCCCAAAGGCAGAGCAGGGTAAGGATTTGTGCTCTCAGTCTAAATAAAACATAAGCTGACGTATTTTCACTCTTTAGTATAGACAGTTCAGCAGCTCTTTAAGCAATATATTAGATGATGTACTGACATGGAGGACACAGTGGTGCAGCTCCCACATCAAAGACAATGAAAAAGGTGGGAAAATGACAGATGCTCCATGTGGGGTTCTTCAATCCACCTATGTCTTTAACACCTACAGCTGAAAAATGGTTCAAATGAAAATTATTGTTCACTCTGGGTTCCTGGCAGACCATAGTGCCACAAAGCTTGTAAAAATGAATTGGATGCCACAGTCAATTGCTCTTAGCTACTGAAGTCACTGCAAAAATAGGATTTGCCTTGTGGCTGAAACAAGGGGTTGGGAATCTGCTGGCAACTGTTAGTCTCCACCACTGATTTGAAATGGTGGCTTGGGGCAAGGCTTTGTTTTCCTTGTTGTTCTCCTGCCTCCACCAGACAGTATTTCCGGCCTTGCAGAAATGCTGGTGCTGGGAAATTAGCAAGGTGTACCGAGAGCCTGGCACAACATGAACCCTGCTGCAAATTCCAGGGACTGTTCACTGCAAGGACATGGGTTAAGTAAATGTGCTGGTTTTTTTCATTGTGGCTGTTTCTGTCTGTCAGCAGCAGTGGGAACACAGCAGTGAATGCATCATCACTGTTCTCTAATGCAATGGAGGAGCTGGACCACAGGCTGAGCATGGGAGGTTTCTGAAGGTGGGGTGCACAATTGATTTTTACATGGAGACATACATATTTTCCTGGCATGGGTGATGCACACAACGTGAACAGTTCAGAGAATTGCTTTGAGCAGACACACTTTGCAAATAATGTTTGTTTTGTTTCGAAACGAACATGAAGCGATTGAAAAGCACGAAGGTATTGGCAGTGCCACAATGAGAAAATTATAAATGCACTCACACATGAGGTGTTGACTGAGTTCGCACACCAGGGCACCTCTGAAGCTCAAATTTGTGAAAGAAAAAAGAGAGCTGTGTCTTCAGATCCTGCAGTTTTTCAATGGGTTTTGAGTGCCCAGGACCTTTCACCATTTTAAAAAAACCTAACACTTGATATTTGGATTTAATAAAAAAATGGGCATTGATGCACTTTCTTCAGTTTGATTTAGTGGTTCCTGGATTGGGCTGCAGAGTCAAGGAGATGCTGTCACTGAAAGTCAGACGTTGATGTTGGTGGATGCAGGGTAGCTGTGGCCTGTCTGGCTCCCAAACGGTGGGGCTGGCAGGAGTGGCCAGGGATGGATTGCACCAGAGCAAGGGATCAGGCGTGCTCCAGAGCAGAATAAATCAGCCACCTGTAATTAGGCTGTCAGGAGGAAGACTGTTTCCCCATTACACAGCACACCATTTATTTTTTTACAGAGTTTGTGTTGTTTAGGTTCTTTCTCAATGTACAGAATTTCATTATTTTTTTTGTTCTTAAATCCAGTCCTGTAGTTCACCAGACAATTCCTCCCAGCAGGTACTTCTGACTAATAGAAAGTGCTGTGAGGTCTCTTCAGGACACAAGTATGACTAACTCTGCAGCAAGTACCTCCAGCATAGATCAAGCAATGAGATTCAACCAAAGGACCTAGAAGCAGGTTCTGACCTCCTTTAAACCAGTTGGAGTCTCAAGTAACTCCAGGAGCTTCAAAGGCTTTATCTGTCTTGTTTTAGTATAAATAGTCCAAAATCTAAGGTGACCTCCCTGCTGTCAGCAGCAGCAATTGTTTCATATGGGCAAGGGTGGATCCTAGCCCAGCTGGGTTTGGGATGATCTCTGGTTTTTACACCACTCTGGCAAACAAGGTTCAATTTGGAGAACTCTGGCCCACTTTGAGGTGCCTTACCATAAGATCAGCTTTTTAAGAAGGCAAAATATGAGGTTTTCTTAGGTGGGCTACCATCTCACCTTTCTCTCAGTACAGTGACTCAGAAATAGGACCTGATCCATCCCTTGCTGGCACACAGGTGGAGGGACCGGTAACTGAGATCATTGGATAGAAATGGCCTGAATTCTGCCCTTCTTCAGCTCTTAACAGAAACAGTGACTTGGATAAAGGAGGAAGAGGAGGAGAGCAACTAGAGGGAAGAGTTGATGAATAAATTTGGGTAATTTCAGTATATAATTTAGGGTTTATTACCGTTATTATATATATTTTGGATTGGACACACACTACTCAGATCCTCACTACAGCAGTCTGGAAATATGAGGAGCTATCTTGACACGTTAGAGAGGGACACAGCTATATTGCTGCATTATTTTTTAGAACAAATGTGACCTTTTTTCTTTTTTGCCAACATCGCCTGCAGGAAGACTTTGGCCATCCCTGGGTTTTACATTACCTGCAGAATGAGTCTCATTTTCCACCCCAAGCCTTACATGGCAGGATGTGATTGTCAGACACTGCTCTACTTGCTCCATGCACATGCTCTGACAGCACTGACATGTTTATTATGATTAATAAACATTATTATTCATAGCACAGTGGCAGCTAGAGATTCTAATTATGAATTAGAGCCCTGTTACTCTAGGCCTGGTAGAAACTCATAGGAAGAAGCAGTAATTTAAATAGACAAAGAATGTTATTACTGTTTTACAGGTGAGACCCAGAGAGATTTGAGAATTCATCCCATGCCTCACAGGAAGCTTTGCAGAATCAAAAGCTGAAACTATGTCCCCCAAGTTCCAACCTCTAATTTTACTGAGACAAAAATGCAGAAGGAAAGCCACTTGCATACAGTCAAGTGCATCACAGGATACACACTCATTCTCTCAGCCCCATAGAGCTGAAGCACTTTGGGGTTTTTTTTGTTTGTTTTGTTTTTGTATTTCCCTTTCCTGATGATTAATTTTTCTTTTCTTTTTTGACTTACAGCTTATGAGTCACTGTTGTACAGAGAAACTTCTCATTCAAAACAAATGGAGCTCAATTTTAATCAGGAAATCAAACAGCATTTCTTTTTCTTTTTATTCTTTCTCTCACTTTTTTTATATCAAAGCAGTACCAGATTGGGCCCTTCAAAAAAACGCCCAAGTTCCATGTGGACTAACATTTGATTGCCTTTTACTGCACCCAGTACCAGTTTATTTCCACAGAGGCTAGTGTGGAGCATTTTAACACCTTTCTACTGCTGGATTTCCTCCTCTTCCTGGCAGTGGGTTTAATCTGGTACTGCCCAGGACATTTGGCATGATCATATACAAATACCTCAGTAAGTTCTCTCTGGTTCATTTAAGCATGAAGTGATGTCTTCATGATCTCTGCTGCAAAAACTCGATTGAGATTCAAATCTGTCTTGAAAACTGTTGTTTTCCTGTCCTGTTGTTCCTGAGAAATTTGCTGACCACTGTGACCTGCTGGGGGAGCAGCTCGAGAGCCACCTCTGTATTCTGGCCTATGTCTGACCATGACTGGGCCATCCTGTTTTTCCCCATTTATCCCTGTGCTTGAACTTATATTTTCAGCCTCCTCAGTGCAGGTGGTTTGTTTTCTAACAGAAATTACCTTGCTGTTGTACCTTGTGTGAAGAATGAAATGGGGAAGGGTTATTTTCATATCAGCATTTGCTTTCCTCTTTCTCTTAGCTGCCATTCTTCATCTCATGTTATCCTCAGCCAAACAGGTGCAATTACAACTTGCCAGTCTACACCATACTATGGGTCCTGTCCTAAACACCTCTAGGCTACAGCCTCTATAAAACCTTTGGCAGACCTGTGGGCCAGATGGGGACATTCAAGCACTCAGCACATAACCTGGGACTGTTCCTGGTGACATTTCCATGGATGGAGAGAAGTCATCTCTTCTTCCTCCAGAGGGGCAGCATCTTTAGGATACCAAATGCAAGTACAGACAATGGCTTGAGATATAACAATGTGCAGTTATTAATGTTCCCACACAAAAAAGCTTACAGTACTGACTCCCTCTGCAAAGATGACCATTCAGCACACAGAGGTGACTTTCTGGCACTGCTGGCCCCCCAGCCCATATATCACTTGGTGTCGATACCTTTTAGAGGTTATAAATACATGGGTGCCAAGGCACTGCCAATTCGGTCAAGGACATGGACTTGTGGGTGGTTTTGTCTCCTAGTGTACTGCAAACCAGAACAGCAAAGTGCTTTCCTCATTATGATGTTAATTTTTGCAAGGGAGGTAAAACAAAGCAGATTTTTCCTAAAGGAAAGAGCAGGTGGGAAAAATCTCAAGGCATGCTGCATTTTGAGTAAAAAGAAGGCATCATGAATGGCTGGATTTGAAGGCAAAACCCCAATTTGATTTAGTCTGCTCTCTCCTATTCCCTTTATTTAAGGACAACAGCTGAATGCCTTTCCACTGTATTTCAGAGGATGCCTCAAATGCATATTTCAACACCAGGCATCTGCTCCTTCCCAAACACTGAACAGCCACAGTGCTTCATAACACCGTTTATAGCTGTGAAGTTCAGGGGCACTAAGCATCCAACCCAAAAAGACTTCCAGGTGGATATTCAAGTATAGAGGCACTTGAAAATATGTGATGCCTTGAAGACAAGGGACTTTTTGTTTTCTTTGGAGAAACGAGACTGTTTAACTCTTCCTGATCAGTACTGAGCATATCAAACATCCATGGATTTAACCACAGATGCCAAGTAGCATTTGGAGAGTACATTGGCTGTGAAGCAGCATGTTCAATAACACTGTTGAAAGACTTGGAGCCTGCTCATCTGTCCCTCGAGGACCCGCTGGACAGAGAGCTTGACATTCTTCTTGCACCTTTCACCTCTCTTGGGCACGATAGACTCATCTCCTCCTGAGAGCAAGAGTCGAGGTTCTTGGTGGACCATCCACTAAGTACACACAAGGAAGGGAGCTCTTGTGCCATTTCCCCTCCAGCTTCCTCATGAATATGCATTGATAGACTGTAAGGAAAAACTGAGCTTACAAACCCTGGGCTGTTTGATTTACCTTGACAACAGTTGTGTTGCAGTTCCTGTATCTTTGTGGTTTTGCTTTCTCTGTGCTTTGGCATTTTAAACCAGTGGCTGATGTCAAAACAGAGTTGGGCTTTCCCGAATTTTCCACTTTTGATGGCAATCTTGTCAGACTTCTCAAACCACAAAGATGTATGGGTGGTGAGGGAGTTCTCTGAATGGCCAGACACTGCAGGGAGTGGCGCTGACTGTTCATTTATGTGTCACTCTGAGTCACTTGCTGAACCCATTGACAGAGATGGGAAACCACAGTGCTTGTCAAGGTACAATGTTCTGAATGAAACAAACAAACAAAAAAAAACAGTTCGCATTCACAGATATTAAAACCTCTGGGGAGAAAACATTGTTATTTGAAATGAAAAATTATAAAAAGCAAGCTCCACTGGGTCAAGGAGTCTGCTGGAGACTAAAGCTGAAAAATGGTGCCAGATCCCTTAAAACACTAAATGAGGAGTTCACCAATTAGCAATGTATGTGAACAGCTCTCTGACCTGAGTTCAGTTTACGCAGCACACATTATCTGATGGCTTGGAAGTGAGAGGGAAGTTGTTCCCAAGAGGCAGAGGGTCACTGTGATCTAATGTCTGCATTTCCAAAGCCAAGACTTGTTACTCATCCCTTAAGTGCCTATTTTAAATAGTATTATTTTTAAAAGTAGCCACAAGACAGATTTGTAAAGCAATTCCTTGTACAAAACCATTGGTTCCAAGACTAGTACCCAAGTAGCATTTTCACATTGTAAATATAGTCTGTGCATTTCAGATTCTCCCTGTGGTAAATAATGGATTAAGTAATGAAAATCACATTATAATGAGAATGACATGAGGCTTTAATGAGACCAGAGCTAGGAAAACTAAGCCAATTTTCTGTTCTCCTCAGAAATCAGGCTAAGGTTTATCATTAACATATCATGATCAGCTTTAATTAGGTAATTAATGACAGTAGCAAGATAATAGCAAGGTGCTTGGCAATGTTATTCTAGCCAGTGTGCAGACATATCACAAAAACCTGACCTTTGTTTAGAAAAGTTTACAACTCAAGAGAGAAGACTAGAACAGAAAGTCTGCAACTGCCAACCTTGGGAGCACCTCACCTACAGGGTGATGACAGGGTGGACTCCTCCCTACCCTTTCTGTTGAAGCCAAACCCTACACAAAGAAAGACCAAAGAGGGCTCTCGCTGGTAAGGAGCCTCTGGCATTCCCACCAGGAAGAGCAAGCCCCAACTTCTGTTCCTCACTCCTGGTGTTATTTATATATTTACTACCATGAAGTGGGATCGGAGAAGTTCCCTGGTGCAAGGATCAGCCAGCACTCCTCATTCCCCACCCTGGAAGAGCCCAAACAACATGCTACAGAGGCAGGGTCTCCTTTGCTTGCCTTCTCTTGCAGATCCACTCCTTTTTGCACAACAGACCAGCTACAATTAGGGAAGTATAGAGAACATTTCCTTCTCTCACTGACCTCCAGCAAACCTGTGAAGATGCTCATGTAGAAAGGGAAGCAGTGGCTTTGAAATCTCTCAGGTTGAGGGCATGAAACTTAGGTCTTGCCGTTTCTGGACAAGTACTTGAACTAGCAGATTTTTATACAAAAAGAGGGAGTTACCCATTCCAGATATAGTCAGGAAGAAAAGAAATGCTAACTGGTAATCTGTCCCCAAGGTCAGGATTATGGTTATGTGTGAGAGTTCTCTGCAAATCCCTAGCCTGGATGATTGCCCTTGCCACATCCTGACTGTGTGCCCAGGGGACACTAAGGTGTGCAGCAACCTTCCACTCTCCTCTACTCTCTGGCTTTTGCAGGAAGAAGACATGGGTGTATGGCTTTGAAGTCATGACCCGCCCCAGCCAGGTCCTGGTTTGGCTGTATGGAGGACTATAAGGTGAACTGTGGTTCATCAGTGTTCGGCACTGCTAGATGTCCCAAGGTACAAACTGACACCTAATCTGGGCTTTCAAATGAATACCTAAGTCAGAGAGAAAGGTGGCATTTCCAGGGTTGACTCCTTTTTCACATTTCAGTCTGTCTGAGCAATGTCCTCTCAGCACCTCGATGCTGTGGGCCCCATTCTGGGGAGCCAGTCTCCTGGTTGTGGCAGTGCCATAGGTGCCTTAGCCCTTGTCATGCTGAGGGCCATCTGGCTGCCATTCTGTAGCCTGCCTTTCACTTGCACATTTGTACCTTTTCTCCTAAGCTGCCATAAGAGTGTTTTCCAGCTCTTCTGGGACAGCTGTTTTCCTCTGTTGTCAGTTGTTCTCGCATTGTTCTCATGCTGTTATTCTTATGGCCTTGATCCTGCAAATTTGATACTGTTGTTAAGGTGTGTTCCCAGGGGGAGCAACCGCCACCAGGGCAAGAATCATGCCCACCCTTTATATTCCTGTTGGTGGTAGCTGTCAGTGACTGGACCCAAAATTACACAGATTAACAACCAGTAGGCATGCAACACCCACTCTGGTCCAAGTGTTCTCCCAACAGCATTGCAACCAGGAATAAAGCACAAATTCCCCCAAAACAGTTCCCGATAAAAACTGTTTGGTTATTGTAGGACACTGTAATGCGGGGACCCTCCTACATGGAAAAGACACTCGAGCAGGGGGCCTCATTACTTGTTGTCCCAGCTGGCTGCTCAGAGAATTTTCCTTTTCCTTTATCTCTCTCTCTACTTCAACACTTGTGCCTTGCTGTCACTGATAGGCTGATAACAGCAAAGGCTGTTTGATAAGATGACTGCAAATGGCTCCTTAACTCAGGATGTGGTTATGACTGTATCTGAGAAAACTCATACATCCAGGCACTTGTCTTCACAGTTCATCATTCTTTCAACCAGCTGATTGAGAAATGTACTGAGCTCTTCCAAGAAAAGAACTCATGAGATGTTCAGCTCAACTTAAGATCAGGCCTTTAAAAGAATTTATTATAAAAAAGACCATCAGCATCACCAGTTCTACAGTGATGGCCTGTGTTAAGATTTCATGATGTTACAGAAGTGTGGATCTGCTTCTTTGATGCAAACAATGATGTCAGTTCATGACTGATGAATTTTTTTTTAATCCCCTTTATCTTTAGATCCACCCAGTAATTAAGACTTGGAAAGGGACTGTACCTATATGTTTGCATGCAAAAGATGATGCTCTGCATGGAGTAACTGATTATACTAGCAGTTTCAATTCTGACTGAAAAGTTCCTTGGTCCTGCCAAAACTCAGGAGTCAATCCAGCTAAGGAAGATATGATTTGGTTGTATCTTTTCCAACTGCTGTAGGAGATTGACTTCAGCCAGAGTCCAAACCAGGACAAACTGAGACAAAGCACTGGGAACACACAGATAGAGAAGGCTCAAACTAAGAGAGCCCAACTTCCCAGCATCCTGGACAGCAGCCATGAGAGGTTTATTACTGTGATGATACATGAGATAGAAGGAAAGATGACTAACAAGCCTTTTGCTTGAAGTTGTGGCTGAGTGTCTCATAACCAGAAACACTCAACTGCCTTTAGGCAAAACCTTCCATCAGTCCCAAAGAGCAGACTGTTCACTGAGTGAGTAAACTGAAGCCGGGACACAGTGATTTCCCAAATCACTTGCCACTGCTGATTTCCACCCCTGGTGCTCTGAGCTCTAGCACACAGCTCGCAGTGCCCTGGCTCCAGATCAGTGTTGGCTCGACGATGTTTAACATAACTCACACATTACACATTGTCTAGGGTTCGGCTGTCATGGCTATAAACAGCAAAATAAGTCAAGATAAGAGATTACCCAGATTACTGGCAGCAGTAGAAGCCATAGAGGAACATTGGCAAGGCTGCTTTTGCTATCTGGAAGAAAGCTGAGCAGAGAGGAAAACAAGGCTCTGCTCATACTGGGGGCACAGTCCTTGGCATCCTGCTAGGAGAGCGGGATACAGGCTGCCCTCACCCAGGATTTATGACCAGCCACCCTGTCAGCTCAACAAGGCTCTGTACCACATTAGGGCATCTCTCCAAGCACAACATTTGCCCATGGCATGGCCCTGCTAAAGGTTCAGACATGCAATGGAGTCACTAAACTCTAAGAAGGCTCCACATAGCACTGGGGACCTTCTGCTCCATCATATGCTTACCCTGAGCTGGAGGCAAAAGGGTTATACACCAACACCCTCCACTGCTCCTATTTGCAACAGGCCAACTCTCGTTAGAAAGGGGTCGGGGTCATTTCAGAATGGGAACCCATGGGTGCCCAGAGCAGTAGTGGGTGTCCATGACAGCTGAGCTGTTCATGGATGCACTCTCACTCCTTTGAGAATAGCTAGGAGAGCACATTCATCCAACCCTCTTTCACTGAGGCTTAACATAATGTGTTTCACCCCTCAGCTGCCGAAGGCAAAGTGTGTGAATCAGTCAGATATTGCAGCACAGTTGACATGTAGGAACTCAGCCATGTGTCTCAGCCCTCTGGGCTAACTATTGTCACAGTGTCCTTCCTCCTGCATTTATCTCGGCCTGTTTATGACCCTGTGTGTTTGGGTCACATCAGATTTATTTTGTGCCTTCCCTTGGCAGGGGACAGGTTCCCACTTCATTTTTGCCATGCATTTTTCCCTTTTCTGAGCTGCTGTGGTTTAGACTCTTTTCCTTCCATGCATGGGGGTAATTTGCTGAGCTTCAGAAATATTTTTTATGATTTCACTGAAACACCCCATTTCTGAGCCTTTCTATTAATATTCAGACATATTCCTCTATTGCTCACCATGCAAGTAATAAAGCTCTTTCCATAGGAAAGCAAACAAACAGCTTAGCACTAAAATCTGTTTAAAACAGATAAAGTTTAAAGCCTTACATAAAAAGTGGGTCTGATTTTTGCAGTCCTCATTGTACTCAGCGGAGCATTTTGTCATTATAACTTTGGACTACAGCAAAAGAACCTTGCAATAAAAGGCTGCCATAAATTGACCTTTTGTTGCAAATTCTGCCATTCAAGCATAAAGCAGCAAGAAAGGCTACATAAGCTGTGTTAAAAGTAGGTCACTGTACACCCACTGTTACCACGGCTGGTCCTGGCTGCGTGTTGCTAACTGGGTCTCTTGGTTGGAGCAGCGATAATGCACACAGACGAGATGGTGAACTCATCACACCACTTCATACAGCATAGAAAGGCCCAGTGGTATGGGGGGGGTGGTTGAAAGACTTGTTCCTGGGTAGGGCAGGACTCCTGTGGACCATCTATACAGCTGCTTTCTGAAAAATGGGGAATCCTGGTAGCAGGGATGGTGTTTCTGCAGAGAGCCTGGTGGCTGGTACCGCCACCTCTTAGGTAGGTCCTGGTACTGCAGAAGTGACACTGGGAGCTGGTGGGAAGCTCTACTGGTAATACTACAGCTCTAGATGCAGCAACAAAACTGCAGGTCTGCACTGCCTGGCCTAGCCAAGCCTCTCTCTCTCCCCACCGTGCTCACATCCAGAGGTGGGACAATGCGACCTGCGTGAATCTCCCTGCCATGGTAGTAGTCTTTTCCTCTAACCCAGGGCATCTTTCCTTTCCCCAGCAAAGTCTGTTATGCTCAGGTACGTACCAGGTGTAGGGAAACAGAAAGGGATGAAGAAATGACTGCTCTGGGGGTCTCATCTCTTCCAGTCTCATTGGTTTAGTCTCCACCATCACATAAGGTCATCCAGACCACCATAATATTAGCTCACTGTCAGCTATAGAGCAGAGAAAAAGAGACTTTTACCTCTTCCACAACTGTCTGAACTGTCATTGATTCTTCACTGTTGGTCCTCTGAAACATTCAAGTCGTCTCAATCTCTGCAGCTCCAGGAAAGTCCAAGTTAAAACAACAGCTGTGGCTTAACTCACCCTGTCCCCTTCCAGGGCTACATACTCTGCATGATGCCTGTTAGAGGATCCCTGGGATTTTCCAGCATTGTCAACATCACTAAAGAGAAAGTTGAATCCAAGACTCCAAGAGTCAACAGGTCCTTTCTCTATTAACTCCTTTGGGTTGGCTACAGACATTACCTCAGAAAACCACCATACTCCAGGAAAATGCATAAGTGCACAGAGCTCTAAGATTCACTCTGAATTTGAGTGAACAAAGCTCAGGGTCAAATGTTTCCTTGACTCAGACCCTAACCAGCATATTACAGATGATAGGAACTGAGTGAGTCATAGTAACTCCTCAAGAGAACAATTATAACATCTGTATTTCCCCCGACTATCCACACCTGTCTGACTCAGCTGCACTAACTGGTCCAAAACAAGACTGTGTTCAAGATCCAAGCTTGTCCTGGAGATTGACAGCAGACCCTGGCAGGTGATGGAGAGCAAGAGCACTTCCCCAGAACAATTCTGCCTTGTCCTCAGCTCAAGGATTTCCTGTTAAATCTTTTACTCAGCATCAGGAAGGAGACTTCATTTACTATCCTTGACATACAATGACACGATAGACTGAAGAGAAATTGTTCTCCTTTATATCTCTATTATAGACTTACATAGTGAAATAATACATAGCCTTTGATCTTGTTCTGTGTTCTGTATCATCTTTGCAGCTGATTGAAAAAAAAACAAAATATGAGTTGATTTAAAGACAATCAAAGTAACAGACTAGCTAGATTTTACGATTTGTACTGAATTATTTATTGCACGATAAATAACTTACCTGTTTTAATAGACAATCTGTCCACCCATCCCCTTCCATGGGCTGCTGTTCAAAAGGGCTTAAACACCATCAGAGGAGAGAAGAAGCAATGGGAGCAAGATGCTGGTGCCTGGTCATCAGAGGAAGAAACAAAATGTGGAATTTGTTTGAGGTTTTTTTAATCGTAACCCTGATAGATATTAAGCAGGAAGATTCTTCCCAATATTTCTGTGACAGTTCTGAGTGGTCCAAAATTGATGTGTGTTTCCCTATACTGAATAAACACAGCCTAGGCAGAATGGGTGCCCATTCTGCCACAGAGCCAGAACATCACAACTTGTGAGGGTCACTGTAAGGCAAGGAAAACCTGGTCTGACTGGCTTATCTGACATAGAAGGTGTTGCACTTAACGTGCATTTTCGACTAGTTTTGAAGGACCTGCACCAAAATACATTAAATACACTTCTAGATATTCTATACTAAAAGGTCTGTGGCCTGTATGTCCCAGAAGACCCAAACCTAAACACAGACTGATTAGAACAATGCTCAGCATATCAGTGCCAAACTTTTTAACTCCCCTGAAACAGAGCTCACAGAATTTCTGTTATCTTTGTAAGCCAGACTTTCTGAAGAGTTTATGCAGTCAAATTACCTGTGTGTTCACAGATGTATAAATGCACAGGTGTGTCCACTCCACAGAATCACAGAATGGTTGAGCATTTTTGGGACCATCTGGTCCGATCCTCGGTCAAAGCAGGGGCAAATAAAGGAGTTTGCTCAGGGCTGCATCCAGTCAGGTTTCTAATATCTCCAAGAATGGAGATTCTACAACCTCTCTGGGCAACTTGCTCCAGTGTTTGACCACTGAACCGTAAAAAAGTTATTTCTTTCGTTCACACAGAATTTCCTATATTTCTGTTTATGGCCATTGCCTCTGGTGGTGTCACTGGGCACCACCACCGAGAAGGGTCTGGCCCATCTTCCTTACTCCCCTCTCCCCTCCAGTCAGATATTTATAAACACTGATAAGGTCCCCTTCAGCCTTCTCTTCTCCAGGCTGAATAAGCCCAACTCTCAGCCTCTGCTTATATGGCCCTGAATCACCTTTGTGGCCTTTTGCAGGACTCAGTGCAGCAGGTCCATGTCTCTCATGTGCTGGGGAGCCCAGCACTAGGCACAGCACTCCAGATGTGTCTCACCAGGGCTGAGCAGAGGGGCAGGATCACCTCTCCTGACCTGCTGGCAACGCATGATGCATGAGGCATGACGCAGACCGGGAGGTTGGTGGCCACCTTTGCCACAAGGACACATTGTGGCTCATGTGTCACTGCTCCCAGTTCTTTATCATCTGCAAACATGCTGAGGGTGCATTTGGCCCCATCCTCCAGGTCACTAATGAAGAGATTAAACAGTACTGGCCCAGTATCAACCCCTGGGGGACCTCAGTGGTAACTGGCCTCCAGGTGGATTTTGAGCTGCTGATCTCCACCCTCTGAGCACAGCAGTTCAGCCAGTTTTCAGTCCGTCTCACTGTCCACTTAACTGGTCTGTACTTCAACATTTTGTCTCGCAAGTGTTATAGGAGACAATGTCAAGAGCCTTGCAAAATAAACAGCACCCACTGCTTTCCCTTCATCCACTGAGTCAGTCATCTCACTGTAAAAAGCTGTTGCGTTGGTCAAACATGATTTTACTTTTATAAGTTTATGCAATTACTTGGGATTGTTTGCTCCATTTCCTAGGGATCATGGTGAGGCTGATCAGCCTGTAGTTTCTCAGATTCTCTATGCCCACATTGAAGACAGGAATAATATTTACCTTCTACCAGGCCTGAGGAATCTCCTCAAGTTACCACAACCTTTCAAAGATAATTGAGTGGCCTCGCAGTGACATTGACCAGGTCCCTCAGTACTCAAGGGTGCATCCCATCAGATTCCATGGACTTGTATGTGTCTAGTCTGCCTAAATGTTCCTTAAATTAATCCTTATGCATCAAGAGTAAGTCTTCCTTGCTCCAGACCTTCCCACTAGTTTCAGGCATCTGGTATTCCTGTAGGCAAATCTTGCTTGAAAAAAGAAGGCACTGAGCACTTTGACCTTTTCCATGTCCTTTGGCACCAGTTTCTTTGCCCCATTTTCATCTTATCATCACTGCAACCAGGGCTACGCCTGACTTTCATACTGCTGACCAGTTCTTCTGCATTGGTAAGCATCAGGTAGAGCAGAGAACTTACTCTGGCTGGCTCCTCCATACCTGTGTCTGGAAGAGAATTATCCTCAATGCACTTTAGAAACAGCCATGATTGCTTGTGCCCTGCTGTGTTCTCCCAGAAGCTACCAGGGTGGTTCAAGAACCAGACCTGCAAACATGAGGCTTCTCCCAGTTGTCTGCTGCTTCTTCCCAATCAGGTGATCTGTAGGAGACATCTACCACAGTTGCTCACATTGGTCTGCCCTTTAATCCTGACCCATAAGCTCCCAGCTGGCTCATCACCCCTCCCTAGGCAAAGCTACAGGCACTCCTGCTGCTCTTTCACATGAAGCTCTTTTCCAAATCATAGCTGATTTCAGAGAAAGATCCATCTCAAGCATGCAAAGTTCCTACTACATTTTTCATGGAAAAATGTCTCCATGAGGGGGGCAGAGTGAACGGACAGACGGACAACAGGACTGTGGGATGCAGGAGCTACTAGACCCTTCTTAGACAAGGCAAATCCAGTTATAGGACTCAAATAAATGGGAAAATCAGACTGCATTATTTCTACTTTGTACAAAGCAGTTCTGTATTTTTATAGAAGCATTGTGAGACTTTGGCCCTTATAAAATAGGAAAAATATGAATGTTATTCTCAGAAGAAAGAAACAGCTACATCATAAGACATCTTATGTGAGATGTTCCCTACACAGCAGGAGTCCAGATCACAAAATCATTATCCAGTCCTATCATTGTATGTACTTTCCTCAAGAATTTTAACTTAGCTACAGCCTCTTAAGAGTAATGTATGAACTTAAGGATTTTCAACTATCAGAGAAAATACAAAATATCATTCATTAGGTCTTATACATTGGGGCTCACATTTCTAGGTATCTTATGAGCACTGGAAGCTCCCACTAATGTCAGTTGTTTTTATAGTTTTGGCACCACACAAGCTATTATTGCTTATTTGTTCTTTACTGAAGGCCAGAGACAGGCTTACACCAAGGTCATAGAGAAGAATGAAATGAAAATCCCTAAGTCTCCAAATGCAGACACAGCTCCCACTTGCTGTTTCAGAGCCCTTCGTCTCTCAGATTTACACAGGAGGGAGAGGGAATGAAGCCAGTCACTAAACAAGGTTACAAACTGCCCTTCAAACCCTGAAGAATTATTCTGATGGCTGTTGTTGACACTATGTTTATTAGTTTCCTGGTGTAAACAGACATATATTCTGTGGAAAAAAACAAAAAATTGGACTTAAATCAGAGTCCCCACAGCTTGTTTGTGATTACAAACTTCTTGGAATTGTTTTAAAGTTTATCACTATTTGCCTGCTTTCTAAATAAGCAGGAATGAGGAACAAAAACATCAGTTGTTACCTCAGGCAGGTATATCCTTCCATAGGGCTACTCTAGTGCCAAAGTGTGTCCTCAATGTGGGGTTGCTGCAGGTTGGATGTGGAAGGAGCCCTCAGCACCAGTGTCCTGATGAGGGGAGCTCGGTGCTGCTCCCAGCACAGCAAGAGCAGCCCTTACTCCAGGGAATGATGGCACAGCTGGCCCTGTGCTATGGAATTAGAAGCTTCTCTTTTGAAAGGGTTCTTTGTTTCCATAATGGGCAAAATTCTTAAAAGTGCAAATCAGCTTTCTCAGAAGTGATAGGAAGCCCTTGAGCTCAAGTCTCCAAGGCAGCTGCAGCCAAGTTACCTGATCACAGGAATCTGTAGGATCCAACATGCCCGAATACTTCTGAGGATTTGTGCCAAGAGCTTGAGTTTCACAAATATGAAATGAAACAAAGACTCCAAAGTGCTGGTTTTTGGTTAGCTGTTCTAATATAGCCTTGTGAAACACATCAGTAGGACTAAAGAAAAACTAAGAACTTCTTTTTGTGTCTGGTCTTTGTGCTTTAGAAAAGTTTACCCCAAATCCAAAGCTACTTGTCCACTTGTCCAAAAGCCCAACCATTCTTGAGAAAAATCTGCCACCCAGTACACGCTGCAAATCATCTGGACAGCACTGTCCTGGTGGTTGGATGCCTCCTTCAGGCCAGAACAGCCATGGGTGAAATGATGTTACACAGGGGCAGAACTGCACAGCCACGCAGGCTCTCCCCTCCAGTACTGTGTGACCAGCACTAAATATCATTTCAGGCAGAAGAGTGTGTCAGATGCATGATGCACACTGGCTTTCTAGGCTTTTGTAAATCTGTCTGCAAGTTGGTGTCCCAAAGGACTTTTATACTACCTGCAAGGGGACCATTCCAGGGCCAATGTCAGGGGATTTAGGTCACCACAAGCAGTCCTTAGGTGATTTTCTGCAGCTCTCAATTGTTCGTAATGAATTATTGCCACCACAGTCACAGGACGTCTTAAGCACAGATGTCTTTTCTCTTCTTACTGCCACCATTCAGGTTTTCAGTTTATCTTGTGTTTCTATAAACCTGGTTTTCTCTCACATGCGAACAAACATTTCAGGTAGCAACCTTTTCTGCAGTAGATTATTGCATTTTGTCCTTCAAACAGTTCTTCTGATATGAAATCCTAGAGTCATCCAAAAGGCATTGACTATAATACCATAAGTTTTTGAATTAGTTATAAATACAAATGGCAGGCAATATTTATTTAAGAAAAAAAAAAAAGGAAAAGCCCCATGGAGATGTTATTTTTATTCACTTGCATCTGCCCACACTGCTTCCAGATGACAAGACTGTAGAATTAAATACAAAAGTAATGTGAAAAAATGTCATCTAATTTGAACAATTTGTATTAGACCCAAAGCTGACCTGGCCTTTGTGGTTTCTTTTGCTAAATCAGGGGTGTTGTTTTTATTGTTGCTGTGTCCGTGTCCAGCCAAAACTCGTGGTTCTGCATCCCATCCCTCCACAGTGATGTGCTGGAGACCGTTCTGTGGGAATGCCTTATGTTAGCATTACTGCAAATGACATGATGTGCCAGTACAGATGTCAGGTGAGAATTTCACAGTTACGATAAAAATCAGTACAAAGCCTGGCCAGTGTACCAGGAAACCTCTGCAGGCTTATGCAATCCTGTTTGTTCCAGTTACATCAATCAATGTTGCCCTGGCTCAGGAAAAATAAAGCAACTACAAACAATTATTTTCAAATAACAAAACTCCCAAAATGTAATTGAAGAAACTCTGAACTCTGCTTTATTCCCATTTAAAAGAAACATTCCATACATATCAGGGATTTGTCAGAATTCCCCTCCCTCTGTCTTGCCTTCTTGTAAAATTTACTTTTAATAACTGTCAGCTTCCTGAACCACAAAGCTCTCTCTTCTGTTTTGCTGTTATTCACTGGGGCAAAATAAAATGCAAGAAGAGAATGCAGGTGTGTTTATTCTGGGTCAGGGCAAAAGGAATTTGCACTCCAGCAGAAGTGGAAACACAAGCAAGAGGCTAATGAGTTGTTTCCAGCCTTTGCCTGCTGCAGTGGAAGGTTTCCTAGAGGGGCTGGCTAAAGGACACCAGCCAAAACTACACCTCCCAATCCCACGTGCTCACCACTGTGATGGCTTACCTTGGAGGGACTTCCTACTGTGTATGGCCAGTCTTCGAGCGAAGATTTGGGAAAGGTCATTAACCCTTCGAGCCTGTGCAGTGGATTTTTTAGGTGAGACACAGCGTGCGCTGAACTGAGCCCACCCTTTAATCCTGAGGTTCATCTGTAGGAAGTCCCAAATTTGCAGAGAGCAGAGGTGTTGGAGGCATCTTAGGTGCTGCAGTTTCCCCCTGAGAAACCATCCCTCTTTCTTCAAAATCTGAAACCTTATCATCACAATCAAGCATCGAGTGCCAGGGAGAGGTTTCAGTGCCTTTCATCCTGCTGGTGTCTCCGAACTGGCAGCTTGGAAATAGCACAATCCAGTGCAGATGTTATAGTGCAGCTCCCTCTTACTGCAGTGCTCTTCTGATGAGGCCAGAAACCTGCCCCGTGCCACAAATTGAAATACCCTTTAGG